TATCTGATGAGGTAAGCCATTCCACCTTCCTTCCTTCCTCCCTCCTCTCTCTTCATCTTCCTCTCTTCCTTTTCTCTCTTTCCTCCTATGGAGCCTTCACTGGCTTGGAACTCACCATGTAAAACAGGCTGGCCTAGAATTCACAGAGATCTAACTGCATGTGTTTCCTGGGTGCTGGGGTTTAAGAAGTTCACCACCATTCCCAGCCTTCACTTTTTTTTATAGCTTAATAAAATACTGAGAAGCCAGTGAGATGCCTTTACAAGAGAGGTGCCTGCTGCCAATCCTGACCACCTGAGGTTGATTCCAGGGCTCACACTGTGGATGCCTAAATTTTGTCCTCTGACCATGCATGCGGCACCACACCTGGCTCATTTCACATCTGTGTACACAGAAGACCCTCACATTCCCTTAGTTCTTATTTTCTGAGTGTTTTGTATAAGATCTCTAATCAGCGTATTTTAAAAATCCATTGGACTACTGCCTCTTTAAAGCGTGAATTGACCCCCATCAAATGCTTCAGCTTAAAAAAAAAAATCACTTATCTATTTTAACTGCCTGTTACTTCATTCATCGTATCATGTTGGCCTAGTCCTTCCTTGTGTGGTTTTACTCATCATTTTTCTTTGGATTCATCATATTTGATATTTTCTTTTTCTTCCTTGTTTTAGAATCAGTGGTCTGATGATGATATTCTGATTTTACTTTTTTACATATATACAATTCATTGCATACATTTAAGGTTCAAGTTTTTTGCACTTACTTTGAGCATTCCAAAATGTATCTACCTGGTATCTTTTCCTTTGGTCATCATGGTTTAAAAATCTTTATCTTCTGCCCACTTAAGAAAACATAAAACACACCAGCATTTAGTTAAGTCCACTAGCATTTTTATCAGCAGGTCCATTGTAACTTGATTTCTTTTTTGTTCCACTAGTATAATACCATTTTTTCCCTCTGACTGTTAATTTATTAACTTATTTGTTCAATTTTCTTCTTAAGTTTTCTTTTTTCTTTCTCTCTCTCTCTCTTTGTTTTTTTGTTTTTGGAGACAGGATTTCTCTGTGTAGTTTTGGTACCCATCCTGGATCTCACTCTGTAAACCAGGCTGGCCTCAAACTCACAGAGATCCCCCTGGCTCTGCCTTCTGAGTGCTGGGATTAAAGGCGTGCGCCATCACCACCTAGCTAAGCTTTCTTTTCTTACCTTAAATTTGCTCCTTTTTGGGGGGTTACTTCCATTTTGGGTAGAACTAAATGAGAATCCCCCCAACATTTAAATAGTCCCTTGAATGAGAAACTGTGAGGGACACGACAGCTTTGTTTTGTGGAAATGTTTTCGTTGTGTCTGCTCTTCTGGAGGGACTGTAGAAAAGAGGAGGGATGGAAAGAAAAAAGATGGCCAGGAGACAAAGAAAAGAAAGGAAGAGGAAAGAACAGGGAAAGGAGGGGTTGAGGGATGGAAAGGGTGGGAGGAAGGAGAGAGGAGGAGGAGCTGATGCTTCTCTAGTGAGTCAGTTACAGCCTATCACCTTCCACCCCTACTGTGTGAAGTCACATTTCAGCCTAGTTAGTATCTGTGTAAATAGATCAATTGTCTTCTTTCTCTAGGGTCTTTGAAGATTTCCCTTTTAACTCTTCAGAAATCACACTGTTACTGTGCTGTGTTCAGAAATGAGGACCGTTTTATTTATTCCATGTAGTATCTGGGATTACCTATGCATTTTACATTTCACATATTCTTTCCATTCTTAAAATCCTTTGCTCTTAACACTGCATTTAGGCACCTCCCATTTGTCTTTTTATTGTGTTGTTCCAGAGTCGTTGTAAAGAGTTCAGTGACTCAAGGCTAAGATGACCATACAGTACCTAACAGTGCCATGGCCCTGTTTTTCCTTCTTTCCTATGGTGTTCAACTTTCTCAGATGTCTCTGAAGAGACCAAGTTGGGTGCTATAGTCTTACAAAGTAGCCTCCAAAGTTAAGCCTGTTAGAGTAATTAGTAACCTCTTTGTTCCTACACCAGACACCAGCAAACTGAGACAATTCACAGCTCACTCCCAGGACTATGCACACTCTTCATGCACACCCCTGGGCTCTTTGGAATTTTTAGAATGGGAACAGAGTAGACACCTGCTGAGCCAACTTGTGTGACACAATTTGTAATGTTCAAAGCATGGCTATGTTATAAGGTTTGGAAATAAAGCACCATTGATGAAAATTATCATTTTTAAAATGGCTACTTATTCAAATGCTACAGAAAGTAGTAAGGTACCTTCATAGCAAGGTAAAAAGCCATACAATGGTAACATCAAGTCTCCAGTGCTATGGCAGGTTTAGTCAACGTGAGCCTGCCTTATGAAACACTCCACTCAACTTTGTTCCTTTGTTCATAACAATGGGGCAGAAAGTAAAAAAGTGAAGGTTCAACTTCCTGTCTTCTTTCCATGAATACAGGAATTTACAGGGAGAGTCTCTGTCATCTTGAGCAAATGTGGCTTACACGATGAGACTGAGAGGGCAGCTAGGAGTTTCAAGTCGCCTTGACTAACTCTGTAGTCAGATGTTTTCCTCCTGATGAATAAAGCTAGGCATGGCATTTTTCAATCATGCCAAAAGAGCATTGCTAACTGATCTGAGGAGGATGAGTTCTGGGGTAAAGTAAATCCAGCAAGATGCTTGTAAATCACATTTAAATAGGTTTGTTCAGCATAGGATTTCTTTGAGGATTTACAGTGCTAAAATGTATTATAAATCCCCCAAAGAAATTTATCATCTCCCATCTTTAATTCTGACTAAGAAACTTTTCTGCATGTAACATTTAATTATTCCCCATTTGAAAAGGACACATATTGTCTAACACTGGCAATAGCACAAATAATAAAACATAACTTTTTTTTAAACATCATCATTCAGGCACAATGAAACTTGTACTTCCCAAGCCCTCTTTTATGGACCTGGATGGACTGAACAGTTCAATAGTGAGGCTTAGAAGCCTCCAAGTGAAAACTAATAAAAGTGGTACAAATACTTAGTATTGAGACGATCTAGTACTATAGGTAGAATGTATTTTTATTCATAGTATTAGTTTTATTATCTCGGGCTTTGAACATAAAGTTTCAATGTGTAGCCCCATCTGGCCTTCAACTCTGGGTCTTCCTGCTTCTGCCTGTGGAGTGGTAGAATTACAGGTGTGTGGTGCCATGACCTGTTATTACTCCATGTGTCATAACTTGGCCACCTTTAAGAAAAGATGCACATGATAAAAGCCAGGGTAAACATAGCAGGAGAAATTGTACTAAAGACCATTTTCAAATGTGTTATAAGTTGTCCACGTGCTTAAACTAATTTAAAATAGCAAGGTAGCAACAGCAGAAAATTGCAAGCAAATCCCTACTGCCTGTGACATTAAGTCAGTCAGCCAGAGTTTCAAGGCAGGGTTTCATAGTGCTGGCAGAGCCGTGTCGCCAGCTGTAAGGCAGTCGTTGCATAAACACAACTGGGTAAAAACAGCAAGAGATTAGTTAGTGGTGGTGGGTGCTGGGAACTGTGAGAATTGATTTGCTACCTAATCCACAGAAATTACAGGAAGAACACAGAAGAACTGAGAGCAGAATCAGAGGAACAAACCAGTCTCCATCAGTCTTCCACAGGAAAACATACCCCAAACAAATAAATCTTTCTCAGAGTATGAGTTCTCATGAACAAACAGGCCATCCTCTGCCAGTCTCAGAACAGATTCCTGACTCCATGAGTTTTCAAACAAATACCAGGACAATATGGCCAAGAAAAGTCAAGAAACAGCTTTGCTGAGATGAAGGAACTGTAAATGGGCACATGAGAAAGATGATAGCATGTGAGCTTAACAGACACTCGGACCTGGTGCTTGATGAGACTTTGTGAACTTATTACATAGAAGGAAACTAGGCTCAGATCTGCAACAAAAGCCCGATTCCTTCAGAACTTTGACTTTGATATTGAGAATGTTTCCAGGGTGATGACAGTATCATTGTGTTAGTCACAAATCCATACATGGAAACATCAAACTCAGAGGATACAAAACCAAGTGGACTGGGAAATTGGCACATCCAATATGTCTATGACTTTATTTTAAATTCAAGCTGTAATAGTACAATATGTTGTTTCATCATGATCAAACAGATTTCTTTATTCTTATAATTTCTTCATAATTAATGTATTTAATTGAAAAAAATTAAATTGATTTTATAGCTTTCCCCAGGTATGCAACTAGACATCATTGCCATCTAGTGGTCTAACACACTACAGTGACCACTTTGGGGGTGTGAGCTAGGGTCCTAACAAGCAGGGCTCACAGATGCAGTGATAACTGGGGCAGGATTCATGGGGAGAGCAGGCACACCTGTCTAGAGCAAACACATACTAACATTCAGTCACAGAAAAAGGTCTATACAGTCAAGCCAATATCAGTCTACTGAAATTGTCAGGCTTCTAGAAGTAAATATTGGGAGCAATCATCCCTTGGGGTCTCCTTAGGTAAAATCAGATACTACCTCTCTTGATTATCTTAGGTAACTAAGCCCTCTGCTTTCTCTTTGCTTCTGTAGGCAGGTCACTTGCTGAGTCCATTTGAAACACTGTGAAATAACCACACACTTAGGATATCCTGAACCATTCTCTGATTCTACTTGTGGGTTTTTGCTAAACTCATCTCTGACTTTGCATACTATCTCCAAGGATGTCAGAATCCAAACAACAGACACTACATCTTCCTTTGAGCCATTTTTTAATAAAATAAATATAGAAACATGGGGTATTAGCTTACATGTTTCAACACAGGAACATCAGGAAAACTGGAAGAAGCAATTTTCAGAAATATAAGCATGTGAGTCTCCAAAATTTGCATTACGGGCTGAGACACACCCTGGAAAATGAACCTCAGTTCAAATTTTCCACAGAAAATTCTGGAACATACTTGCTTCCCACCTGCAAATCTCTCAGATGAGAAGTTACTGGATCTTACCTATAATGAAAAGAATCTCCACTGCAATGTCACTGACTGTTGTGCTCCGAGTTGTGGACAGGTCCTCATTGCCAATGAAGCACACGTTGTAAGGTACTGTCACAGCTACATAAAATGTTGCCAGCAGAATGAGCCAGTCCCAGCCAGCTTTGAAAGTGCTGAAATGCAACAGGATGAACTTGGATTTTTTTGCATCAGAAACCTTGTATTCTGGAAATGCTGGTTTATCTACAAACACATTCTGTAGATAAAGACACAAAGAAGAGAAGGAACAAAGAGGCATATGATTAGAAATGGAGACTGAACAGCCCTAAATGCACACTGCAGGAGCTAGGACCACCCACACACTCAACATCAAATACCTTACAAGTGACTTGTAAAATCAAACATGAGTCTACTGTCCTGTGCTACCCAACTGTGCTGCAGTCCACTACAGGCTTCATTGTGATGCTGGTTCCACAAGATTCCAAGTAAGATGAAAATCCTGTCACTCAGGGAAGATGCAGGCCACTGTAACACCATGACCTATCTGTGATGCTGCTCTACAGGAAAATACTGAATCTCATTGATAATTATGCATAGTACATATTATTGATCTTAGTAATAGATATATGTTCCTGCTTTATGTGTTTGTAATGTAATCTTACTACTGGTTCAGAGTGTGTTCCTATACATTTAAAAAGCTCACTGTCAGCATTTAGTATATAAGCTACAGGCTCATACATCATCTGCTGAACTCATTGCTTATTTACACATTGAGTGATTGGCCAGGAAATCTATTGGTTTATACACATAAATGCAGATGCCCAAAAAAGCAAAGGAGTTTGTTGAATTTCTTGAAAACAGAGCTACAAGCATTTGGGGGACACCTGACATGGGGAATGGAGACCGAGCTCAGCTCCTCTGTAGAAGCAGTATATGTTCTGAGTCATCTTAAACTCTAAGCCATCTCTAGCCCAGATACACACCATGTAGATTTTTATTGGCACCCTCTATGGGGTTCCTATAAAACCAAAACTACCCTAATAACATACTTCTTAGAGCATGTCCTACTTGTTACTGGACTAAAATTAAACAGTGATCTTTGCTATATGCACAGTATTCTGAAGATTGTGACTTATGTGAGTAATCTAGATTTTGGTCATTAAAAAACAAAAAGACAGTTATCTCAAATGTCATCTAATAGCATCCAGTTGCAAGTGTCATCCTATACATAATGGAACAACGAAGGCATATTTGCATCTTCCTTAGTATGAGCACTGTCTGCAGATGGGTGGATTTCAGATGACAGTCATCTCTGACCTGAGATTCTGCTGATGTCAGCAAAGATATCTTCCCGTCCTCCACCCCCATCCCCCCAAAGGTAGAGATGACCAGTATTCAGTTGTAAACATCTGCTTGCTTTCCTCTAAAAATATACTAGGTGGCACATGCTTTTGTGCATTGTGGGTATTGGTGACATTTTTTTATTGGAACCAAAACCTAATTACTTTGATTAATATGGATAATATATTCAGCAATGGACCACCCAGTAAGAAGGAGAGAAGCAGCTACCTAGGGGAGGAAGGTAATGTTCGCCACACAGCCGATTAACAAAGACTAGCTAGAGCTTTTGAAGGCTGCTGAAGCACTTTGCTTTGAAAGCAGTTCAAACCCATGAACAGTTTCCTTGTTGCTATGAGACAAAAGGAGCCTCAACAACAGCAAGTGTGGAAATTCCACAAGCATGCGGCCAGGTACTTATAGACTTTGCTTTGACTGTAATTAATGAAAAATGCAAGAAAAGTAATGAGAACCTAGATTTGAAATTTAACTCGAATGAACAGAAAGAAGTTTTGGATATATAGTACTTGTGGGCTGCAGTGTTGTTTCCTTGTCTCAGTCACTGAGGGAAAGGCAGATAAATATTGTGTTCAGGAAGCCTCAGAGCAGAGGATTCCAGGGCCATTAACAGAGATAGGACTTGGAATTATTGGTTCCGCCCCTTGTCTGAGGGTAGGGGTTCCCAGCACGTGTCTACTTCCTGCTAGTCATGGAAGTAGACACAAGCATGTCATGCTCACGCCCCACAGTGGGCCACTGTTTCACTTCCAGATGGTTAATTGGTGCCACTGCCTGTGTTCCATCCAACTACCCACCTGGTAGTTGAGGGTGAGTTCCAAACCTGGACTTTGCCATAAAACCGAGACAATGAAATACTTTGTGTGTTTTTGGGCTGTGTGTGTGGGGAGTGGTAAAGCTCATGTAAGAGCACAGAAAGGAGAGCTGGGGTCCATAAACATTCATCTTCCTAATGTTGATAAGGTACTTTGAAGTTATAATAGCATATAATAAATTCTTTTCTTTAAAGTTTATTTATTTTGTTTTATGTGTGTGACTACTTTTATCTGCATGGGTGCCTGTGCATTACATGCATACCTGGTGCTTATAGAGGCCAGAAAGGGGTATCAAATTCCCTGGAAAAGGAGTTACAGGCAGTTTTAATCTACCATCTGGGTACTGGGAACCAAACCCAGGTCCTCTTTAAGACTAGTAAGTACCTAGTTGATGAGCCATCTTTCTAGTCCTATACATGGTAGATTGAGTTATAACTTTATTCCTAAACATTTATAAAGGGAAATTATCAGGATTTAGCAGGAGTACTTTATGCTTCTATCTAAATAGCTACTATCTTTACCATTTTGTTGCAGTGCCTCAGATTGTACCTAGTGTGAGAGAAGAAGGCCTAGAGTGAGGACTGTGCACTCATGGAAAGGTGTACTCTGTGTCACATTGATTCCATTTAACTCTGCAATGCTGAGACAAAAGCTGAGCAAGATGTGAACATCTCTCAATGTGAACAGCAAGGTGTCAGTTTCATAGACTACCTCAAAAACGTAAGTTAAAGTTATTGTCAAATTATTGTTACAGCACGTATTTAAAAACTATACTTAGGAGTCAATCCATCTCAGGTTTGACTTAGCTTTTGAAGGGTCAATAATTCATTTCTGCATACATCATTACACAGTCACCTGAGTGGAAAGACTCTACCAGAGTCTCTAACAATCAAGTCAATTCTTAGAACCATAAATGATATGCATGTACACAAAATTATGGAATCCATGGAAACAGGGAAGAAACATCACAGTGTTTATAATCCTCAAACATATGGGGCTTGTCCAAGGACTAAAACAAGGTATTAAACAAAAAATAATAGATTTTGAGCAGCTGTTATTTCTTAATTTTGAGGGGCATGCTTTAGAACCAATAATGCTTGAGTTGGTTAATTTTTATCCTATGAACGATCCAAATGTATTAGTTAACTCCAAAGCCCAATTAAGATGTTGGTTTTCTAAAGTATTTTTCAATATTTCTTTGAAACTGGCCTCTGAATGCACAAGGGGGAAGAAAAATCTTCTTACAGTCACAACACTGGGTGCACCTGACACAGGCCTGACTTTGATGATGTACTAATGAGGAAGGCTTCCTGCTTATGATATTGGGCATGGCTAGCATTTCTCTCAAACTCCTGAGGGGCTCTCTCCTATAACCTGTACAACATTTATTTCTGCTGGGTAGACCAGCTTCATTCTCTTCTCATTTCATAGAGTAAATAATCAAAATCAAAAGGAATTAAGGTCTTTTCCCAACAGCTTCCAGGCAAACTTAGAGCTTAAGTTAAAGGTATTACCTCCCATCCCCAAGCCTGGACACAGGCCTAAGGAGTTCCTTTGTCTGTGATTGCAGTATAGGATCTTCTATAGGGAAAAGCTACTCAACAATATGGCAGTGATTTGAGGCAGAAAATTAAGGTCTGAGCCCTTTAGAGAGTTTAAAAAAAAAAAAAACCCAAAAGTTGGTCTGTCCCCCACCCCCGCTTTGTTAAGATGCAGCTAATAAAAACAATACATAGTACTAGCCTGCGTTGAGAATTGAATAAAAGAATGTAAGGAAGGAAATTTTAAATAGCTAGTGTGATCGAATGTTAGAGGTCATTTTTGTGTGCATGGGCTACTGCAGCTAGAATTGCCCTAAGATTGTTTCCCACTAAGTGCAGGGCCTTTCTGCCTTCCTTCTCTCTTCCTGCTGTCTGACCATTAGGGGCTTTCTATCCTACTGAAAAGGAGACAGTGCTGGAGGCCAGTGCAGACTTCACACCTGGCTTCAGAAGTCAGGGCACCTGTGCTATCAGTGTCCCTGGGCTGACTAGGCATTCTCAGTTACTACCCTCCCCTCTGGGGTTTATACTTCTGAAATGAACAGCAGCAATTAAGCAAGTCACTAAGGACTGGGAGTTATAACTTTTTTCATACATATTTTTGAGTAACACTTTAGAGTTTGTTAAATGTAGAGGGGAAAATAGCAAGGCTCAACAAATGCTGTTTAATCTCACCGAGACGCAGTGTTTCAGTGAATCTCAAGCAAATGCTTCTCAACTAAAGCAAGAAGACTGTGGGCTTCCAGCATAACCAAATCTCTGCATATATGAATATCGGTGGCACACACACACACACACACACACACACACACACACACACACACACAAACATACACACACACACTAAAGCAAAAGAGAAATCTATCATAGTAAGTCAGAACAAAAAAACAAACTTCCACCCACCACCAACTGTGTTGGACTTTCCACAGGAGGGAATGGCAGAACAGCCAAGGCTTGTTGGATGACCCCAGGAGCATGAGTGGACCAGAACACTGACTGTGACTTCCAGAAAGGAACCGCATTAAAGCCAAATCACATTTGTAGCGTATTCAAGTAGCTCGCCACACCCTGTGTTTAGACACCTTTCTTTGTTTGCAATAAGCACAGAAATCGATACTTTGAACAGCAGAAGCAAGGCTTGTTTCATCAGGACTCTGGCTGTAAGGCTCTCCATAGTGCCGATTGCGAAGTAGGGCTGTAAAGCATCTTGTGTCCTCAGCTCCCAGGACATCTGGACCAAATTTCCAAAGGGGTTCTGAATCCTAAATACTACTGTTCCTGAATCCACTGGCAAGTTAGACTGAATGTTCATTTTCCATGCATAGTCACCCCACAGGCCTGCACAGAGTCTAATGACTGCACACTGAAAAGCTGTGTTTGAAGGTGTTCTGGTTTTCTCCACACAGGTGAAGTTCCTTTGTGTTAAAAACCAGGTAAGTGTAAATTTCTTGAGGGTGTGATGTGTGATTAAAACTCTATGAAAACAAAACAAGCAGCTTTTACTGGCACAATGGCCCTTGAGAGGTGAGCACACTGGTTCAGGAGTGTGCTTGCAACAAGCAACCCTTACTGTAATTCACTAAAAGTAAAACTCTATAACCTAATCAGGATAGCTTGTGATTCCAATGTAATGCGATTCAACTCACTGTCTGAAAGTTTCATCTGTTTTGTACAGAGTGAAGTCTTAACTGGAGTGATGACCTGTATTGGCCCATGGTTCCCTAGTTAAGGCACAAAGGGGAATGGGGTAGAGAGTAACATTGACACTGAAATTAAGTTTATAAAGTAGTCACTAACTATACATGTGACCTGCTCCACTGTCCTGTGTCTCAATCCACAGTCTGTCTGGTTTGCCCCTCAGCACTCTGCACTCTGGCAGAACTGTAATCTCTGTGCTGTCCTAACACTATGATTGCATATGTTTCACAGAAATGCCTCATGACGCTGGCCTTTCCTATTTGTTCTTTACAGGCAAATGCAAGCCAAAGTGGGAAAAAGAAAGCTGAAAAGTGTAATAAATGAGTAACTGGAACCTTTCCTTAGTGTATCAAACATTGCTCTCCAGGGGAACTGGTGTCCACAATGTACACACACCACCTACATTATTTATTTTCAATTTGTTCTTTTCTCTTCTTTGCAGGTGTCCTGAAATGTGATACAGGACGGCTCGACTTCGTCTCCGGGCTGAGTCAAAGTGGGTCCCCGCTCTTGATCTTCCTTTGGCTCTGTCTGGAGGGAAATAAGACTCATCAGACAACAGAGAATGCAACATTTCATCTCACAGATGTCAAGTTCTGACGGGTCATTGCAAGAGCATACAGTATTTTATGTATTTTCAAACACTTGAAATTATCTGTTGACATTTATTTTAATTTTGGTACAATATTATTTACTTGTTTTTCATCATTATACTAACTGCATTGTTACTTAAACATTAAAGTAAAATATACATGAGAAAGAAAGACCATGAGAAGTTCAGTGAGCACAGGATTCTGCTTCCACCCTGCTCTATCATACTCTATTGCTAACTCTACTTAACACTTAGAAAGCTTCCCCTGCTAGATAATTTCCAATGCAAATGTAGAAATCACATTTAAATTATATTTCTTTGTATTAATAGAAAGTTTATAATAAAATTGTTTATACAGTTTTCTAGTTAGCATTAACTGTCAACTTGACACAGCCTTGTACATTTTACTATTTTTCCATTTTGAATTTAAAAAATTAATTGATTCTTTGAGAAGTCATATGATTTATTTTGATCAGATTCATCCCCAGCTCCTCTCCTTAACTCCCACCAGACTTGTCCCCATCTTTCTGACCCCCAATTTCATGTCCTCTTTTATTTGTTTTATTTCATAAGCCATTGAATTCAATTTGTCTTGTCCATATACTTCTGGGTGTGGGGCCCTCCACTGGAGTGTAGTCAACCTACCAGGAGCCACACCTGTAGAGAAAAGTGACTCTTCCTCTGTCAGAAGCTGTCAGCATCCATCGCTCCTCAGCTAGGGTGAAGGTTCATGAACTGCTTCTGGCTCCATGCTAGGATGGTGACTGGCTTGATCCTGGGTGAGTCTTACGCAGGCATCCACAGCTGCTGTGATAATGATGAGTGCGCAGTGGTCCTGTCATGCCCAGAAGGCACTGTTTTACTCTGGCCCTCACCAACCTCTCTCTCTTAAAGGTCTTTCTGCCCCTTCTTCTTAACTTCTGCCCCCCTCCTCATCGATGGTCCCTAGACCTTGGGAGTAGGTATGATATCTGGTTTATGGCTGAGCACTCTATTAGCCTTCTCTGCAATTTGATGAGTTATGAGTTTCTGCATTAAACACTGTCCACTACACAAAGAAATTCTTCTGATGAGGTGTGAGAGCTGCACTAATCTACAGTTAGTGATATATGAACTTTGAAGACAATTTAATACTATGTCCTAAATGAGGCAAAATAATAGTAGTAGGTTCACCCTTGGGGACTGTGAACTTGCCGGCCCTGAGTTCCTGGATAGACTTGGAGCAGGTTCTTTGCAGTCAGAAAGTCATTGGTTCCCTTATTCATGTCACCCTTGCATCCAAGGATTTATCTTGTCACGATGGTTATTCTTGTAGTTCACAGGGTTTGAAGCTGGGTGGGACTGCTGATGACCTTTTCCCCACAGAAACCTGCACAGTAGTATTATGAAAGCTAAGTAGCATTGATGGAGCTTCATGGAGAGTACCAACTTAGTTTCTTCAATTTCTTGTCATATTTATGCCTGAAATTTTATTACTTGATTTTGTTCTTTATGTAGCTAAGTTTTTTTATGTTGCCAGGCTTCTTCATTCATCTGCTTCTGGTGACTAGACATTATTATCTTGAAGAACTAAAATTTTTTCACAGAAAAATAATTTTTTAATATGTATGCATGTTTCTTCTGATGTATTCATCTTTATATTCCAGAACTTGACTTTATTAAATAAAATATACTACATTACCATAGATTCAAATAACTAATAAAGATTAAAACCCACAAAATAAAAACACTTACATTATTTATATTATTGAAATTGTTAAATGTTCAGATAAGGTCTTCATGTGTTAACTTTTTATTTACTTAGCATCTTGCATATTCCACTTAAAACATAATTATTAGTAGAGTAAGAGTAACTTAAGCATATTTCAATCTACAAACACCCTGAGTTTTGTGACAATGTCTATAGGAATGTGGTAAGACCAGCAGGATGTTTATGAAATGTTAGTTGGTTGCAAAATGACAAGCAGAATTATAATGCTACTAAGAAATGGACCTGAGCTGATATTTATGACAGTCAGTTAGTTTCCTTCTCATGGGAAAATCTAATTAATAGCTGAGATTGTCCAAATTAAACATCAGTAATTTCATCATCTTAGAAGAAAGGCCCTCAAAGGGGAATGTCAAAGAAACATGTTTGTCTTAGTCTTGGCTCTAAGTAGAAGCAAAATATATTCCCTGAAATCTGTCATTACAACTAAGCCCTTGCCCAAGACTGGCTGTGAAAAACCACTCCCCTTACAGGACCTAAAATCTCCTTTTGCTTCCTAGCCAAAAAAACAAACAAAATTTGAAATTCAAATAATTTACAAAGCAACTCATTCTTCTATAACAATATACATACAAAATATTTACTTCAGAGGTACTTATAACATATATGCCTAGATACATCAGTAGATACATACACACATAATACAGGTGTGTAGTTGTGTGAATAACTGCAAATCAGTCAAATGTCCAAAAATAAGTGCTATAAATTGCCATCCAGGTATGACAGAGTATTATAGTCCCAATTATCTGGACTTATGTGAATTAAATGTAAAATAAAAGAAATCCTGTCTATTAATATAGAAATATCTTATGTACACTATTGGAAACACAAACAACAGAAAAACATCAGAGACACCATGGCAAGACTTTTAATTGCATTTACATGAATTCAAAATTAACAGCATATAAAATATAAGTGATGTAAAATGATATGCTACCACAATGCTAGTAAAGAGCCAAAGCAATTCAGAAATGCCATCTCTTGCTGGTCTATTATACCTCTTACTAAGTGGTGCTGATGCTTGTCAAATTCCACTGCTCAAAGTGGATGTGGGGTGTATGCTGGTTAGAAAAAAAGTTTATAGTACATATATATTACATTTTAATTTTGAAGTATTTTGCAAGAAAACCCACCACCCACTCAGCAGCGGGTCAGATTCAATTCTTTAGAGTGGTAGTGTGACTGAGATAGAAGACTTGGGGTTGAAATCTGAAGAATGAATACTGGACGAGAAGGGACATAAGAGGTGTGGCCATTAACCATAAGGTTAATACAAACTGTGATAGTCTTGAGAAGAGAAAGCTCAGCATCTCTGAGGACAGAGAGGAGTTACAGGGAGTCATGCAGAAGTCTGCAGGGCACCTTGCACTTTTGAAGCTATGTGGGAATCTGCTTCCTGGTTCTAAGTCAGCAGTTCCCAACCTGGGAGCAGTGATGCGCAGGCTGAGAAAGGCTGCTCTAGATTAAAAGAGCATTAAAATGTAATAAAAATCATGAAGACACTTGCTACAGTGAAGAAGAAGAAAGACCGTGCTGTTCACGTTTCCTATCATCCCATCAGTGGCCTGTCAGACATATCTAAGGACCATGGTATGAACTTTGAGGTAACAGATCATTCTTTTTTGGTTATTTTTCAGGGAATAAGGCCTCACACCACTTAGGCTGGCCTTAACATTCTAGTGTTCCTGTTTCCAGCTCCTGACCATTGAGTTTATATGGTGAGTGTCAGCTAGCTTAGGAACAAAGAGTTCTAGTGATAGCTTTCTGAGAACAACTCTGAAAATGTACTGTGTCCAAACTAGAAAAGCAAATACAACAGGAAAACCATGTACCACAGTCTTCACGGATGCAGAGAAGACCCTAAATAAATCATTAGCAAATTGAATATAAAATTAATGTACAATTATACCAAACTCCTTCAGGCTTTTGACAAGGATGGTCCTACCTCAGGGAATACAGAGGTCAAATGATCATTCCATGAAATATGGTCGTGGAAAATCTATTAATATTTCTTTTAAAAAGCCTTGACAATCAAAAAGTACAGTAATTATCTCTGACCCAGTAGGATATCTACTATTAGTCAAGAACACAATCATATAAGACAGTTTTTGTGGTTTACTAAAGACAAAAACAAAATATTGAAATGAAAAAAGTCATTATGGAAAATCATGAAAACACAAAAATTCAAGGTAAAGAATGCTGGGTTCCCTCAATACACAATTCCATGCATTTCCTCATTTTTTTTTGCATTTATTCACTCTGAACTGAGTTAGGATGGCATGAGTGTGAATGTTAGTTCCAAGAATATTGAAATAATACATTTCACCATTGATATAAATATCCATAGTGTGAAACAGGAAATGAATTCTCTAATGCTGTTTCTCAGACATAACTACACATTTTGATGATTTTTATTTTTTTCTTGAACATTTTTTTTAAATCTCTAACCTCACATAAAATACTCAACATGAGAACAATCACAGATCACAGATATAAAGACAGTTTATAAGGGAAACATGCCACTGCAGTAAACCTGATAAAAAGCATAAGACTGAATTAGTTCAATATAAATTTTATATTTTATTCCCAAATGACCTAGTAATCTGGTTTTGGGAAGGGGATGGAAAGCCTGTGACTGAGGTAGGTGGATGGTTCAGTGGATATGGACACATGGCCCAGTGGTTATGGACAGATGGCCCAGTGGATATGGACAGATGGCTCAGTGGTTATGGACAGATGGCTCAGTGCCAGTGGTTATGGACAGACGACCCAGTGGTTATGGACAGATGACCCAGTGGTTATGGACAGATGACCCAGTGGTTATGGACAAATGGCTCAGTGGATATGGACAGATTGCCTAGTGGATATTGACAGATGGCTCAGTGGTTATGGACAGATGGCCCAGTGGTTATGGACAGATGACCCAGTGGTTATAGACAGATGGCTCAGTGGATATGGACAGATGACCCAGTGGTTATGGACAGATGGCTCAGTGGTTATGGACAGATGGCTCAGTGGTTATGGACAGACGACCCAGTGGTCATGGACAGATGGCTCAGTGGTTATGGACAGATGACCCAGTGGTTATGGACAGATTGCCTCGTGGATATGGACAGATAGCTCAGTGGATATGGACAGATGGCCCAATAGATATGGACAAATGGCTCAGTGGTTATGGACAGATGGCCCTGTAGATATAGACAGATGGCTCAGTGGTTGAGAGTTTGCTGCTCTTCCAGAGGATCTGAGCTCAGTTCCCAGCACTGACATGGGTCACTCACAACCTCATGCTCTGGGGCATCCAACATCCTCTCTGGCTTCTGAAGTCACCATCACACACATAGAACCTATATACTACATATAAATAAAAATAAACATTTCTTAAAGCATAAAGAACATCCTATGACAGCTGGCAAAGGCATGGTACCTCTTAAGCCACTCTGTTTAGATGGCCAGAGCACTAGCAAACGGGTGCTCAGATCACACTGGGCTTGTCCACAGTCCTCATCCCTCAACCCTCAGTTCAAACTGAACTCAGTGGAAGAACATCATCCTGAAAAGGGCCACATTTCCTTTTCAGGACATCCTGAATTCCACACGAGAGTGTTACAGACTTGACATAAATAAATAAATAAATAAATAAATAAATAAATAAATAAATAAATAAATAAATAAATAAATGACTCCAAAGCTACCCAGTTGTAGCTGGTGGTGAATGGACGTGGAGTCAGCAAATAATCTTCTTGGAACTGCATTGCAGCCCAGCCTGTTTCTCCACCAGGGCTTCCAAGAGCTCTCCGCATTAAAGTCTCTGAAGTCACCACCCCAAGCTGTTTACATGAATGACATGTACCACAGCATCACATCTTAATGCATGCTCTCTGTACAAATACACAGACAACTAGTGCTGTGAGTGGGCATGTGGAGTATGCTAGTCACTGTATAGACTATGGAGTAGAGAATATTCCCCAGAAAAAAATGTGCTCCCACAGAGAAAGCCAGGAGAAAAAATAAGAAGGAATGTTGGAGGGCCTTGACAAAGGGACTAATTTACTCTGTAAACTAAATTGTGAACTGAATTAAAGTGGTTACAGAAAGACAAATGATTATCTTCCATACTTTTAAAGTTATAATTCTGAGCTATTTCTGTAATAATTTAGGGAGAGTTATATGATGAATGAATTTCATGATTCTCCATAAGTAAGATTATTAAGTCTTGCAAGTCTGATAATGTCACAAAATTTATCAGTGGAAATTTCAAAACAATCATTAATCATATTGTATTTGGCCAGCTTTTTCTTACTACTATTTTCTGGCAATTCTAAACAACAAAAAATATTTTGTTAGTTTAAATTAAAACAATAGCCATGGTTACTACCAGATTTTAATAGTGTATGTAAACTTCAAAGTGCCATGTATGCTACAAATTACATGCTGGGACACAGTATTTTTCTCTCATGTGACAAAAACTTTCAATATATATGAAAAACTCTAAAAACTGAACATGAAAAAAAAACAGTATAATTGGAAACTAAGCATGAGACCTGAGACATTTCCACGAACCTTGGGGATATGAACCTGGATACCACAGGAAGACCACACACCTACTGCAGGAGCTCGAGGTGAGCAGACAGCACCAGCATCGCTCAGGATGGGGAAGCGACATCTGTGCTGCATTGTCACTGGATCAGAATCTCTAGAACTGTTTGGCCATTTTAAACATTATTTTTATTTAATTCTGCCACTGTCATACTTATATGCAATTTTTAAACTATTCATCTATTTCCTTCTCTCAGCCCCTTCCCATCCTATACTCTCAGCTGTTACAAAATATCACAATGAATTGGTCTTATTAGAAAATCAACTTTGAGTTTACAAATCAACTTCAATGTCTCATGACATAAAATACATCATAAAACATGTATGCTGAGTTTGGCTGGCACTATCTGCCTTACCTCTACCAAACTGATTATCATGGAATATTTCAAATATCAACTGAAAATCAGAAGAAATAGGGAAGAAGCAGAGCAATTGG